AGGGGCGGGGGGGGGGTCGGGAGCGACCGTCTGTGGAAAGCTCCTTTAAACACGACTCATCAAATGTTAGTGACTAATTAGAATTTCTGATCCGAGGGCGGCCGGCAGCTGGGCGCAGCCTCTCGGCGGGGTGGTTGCACAGACTCGCAGGCAACAAGGTTCAAGGTGTGTTTCAGTGGCAGTGGGTCTGCAGGCGGCGTGTTTGCAAGCGGCGGGAGACGAGTTTCTTCCCCACACCCTTCCTCCCGAGCGCCCCGGAAGCCCACGGGAGGACCCCAGAGCCGCATCCCCGTCCCACCTCCTCGATGTACGCCGGCGGGTCCCGCTTGATCAGGTTCTGTAACTGCGGCAGGTTGCTGGGCAGCTTGTTGTTGTTCCTGCCCGACATGGTGGCTGCAGATGGGCTCCCTGGCGAGCAGTTCTTGGAAAACCTAGGCCACCGTCAGTCACGACCGGCTCCCCTACAGCGGCTTAGACTCGTGTTTCCTAAAGTAACCGGAAGCAGCACGTGGGACACACGGCGAGCCGTACCGAGCTACGGGAGGCTCAGAGGCTCAAACTTACCCGACCTGCTTGCAATGCTTTGTTGGTGTCTGCTCAATATCGGTCCCTGCTGTTAGGCAATCGCTACTACTATCACCAAATATTTTAGACACAATGAAAGTTAAAGCTGTGGGTTTTTTTCTTCCACATGTATGAGCAGGTTTCGTTATCTCAACATTCTTTTTCATTGAAAATATTTTTTTGGGGGGTGGGAGGAGGCGTTTTCGAGACAGGGCTTCTCTGTGTAGCTTTCAAGTCTGTCCTGAAACTCGCTCTGTAGAAAAGGCTGAGTGCTGGGATTAAAGGAGTGCGCTGTCTCGTATACAATACTTTTGATCATGTTCCCCCCCACCTCCAATTCTTCCCAGATCCTCCCAACTCTCAGCATTCTTAGGATGGCGCAAATGAATAAGGACTAATAAGGGACCTAGGTGTGCCGAATACTTACAAAGTGGAGGCGGGAGGGTTGAGACTCCCAGGTCATCCTCAGCATGTGCAATTTGAGGGAAACCTAGGATACATGAGACCTTGTATTGCAAAATGAGGATTAGGGGCTAGAGAGATGGTTCAGCAACTAAGAACTGGTACTGTTGTTACAGAGGACCCAGGTTCAGTTTGCAGCACACGGTCAGGTGGCTCTCAACTGTTTATAACTCCTGCTTCAGAGAAATATGAGACCTAAGAGGGCACCTACGCTTACAGCCACACACAGATGCATACAGGTAATTAAAACAAAAAATCTTTTTAGAAATGAGGATTAAAGTCAGGTGTGATGGTGCACGCCTTTGATCCCAGCACTCTGGAGGCAGAGGCAGGAGGATCTCTGTGAGTTCGAGGCCAGCCTGAGCTACTGAGCAAGTTCCAGGACAGCTAGGGCTATTAAGAAACCCTGTCTTGAAAAAAAAATAGAAAAGAAATGAGGATTAATCATTTTCTTTAGACTGCACTGTCCTGGAATATGTATTACTTTAACTGTGTAAAGGTGTGTTACACTTGTTTATGCTGCATTTGTTTAATGATGTAAGGATGTGTGTTTACTTATGTACAGATGTGTAGCATCTGTTTCATTTTGCCTGTCTAAGGCATCTGATTGGTCTAATAAAGAGCTGAACGGCCAATAGCTATGCAGAAGAAAGGATAGGTGGGGCTGGCAGGCAGAGAGATTAAATAGGAGGAGAAATCTAGACTAGGGAGAAGAAGGAGAGACAGAGAGGTAAGAACAAGGGAGACAACCTGAGCCAGGAGCCAGGAGCCAGAGAGACAGCAGGAAACTACAAAAAGGGAAAAAGCCACGAGGCAAAATGTAATAAAAGAGAAATAGGTTAATTTAAGTTAAAAGAGCTAGCCAAAAATGAGCCTAAGCTAGGCCGACATTCAAAACTATTAATAAGTCTCCACATCGTGATTTGGGAGATGGTTGGTGGCCCAAAAGAAAAAACCTGGTACATGGTACTAAAGTTAGAAGAAATATCCATGAGGAATATGCTTAGAAAACATTTTAGAGACTGACAGAAGAGCAGGGGTGGAGATTAAATTAGTTTTTGTTTTGTTGTTATTTGTTTGCTTTTGTTTTTCGAGGACAGAGTTTCTCTGTATTGCTTTGGAGGTGGTCCTGGAACTCTCTGTAAACTAGGCTGGCCTCAAACTCAGATATGTGCCTGTTTCTGCCTCCCAAACGCTGGTACTAAAGGTCTGAACTACTGTATGCTTGTTTTTCTTTTGGTTTTCTTTCAGTTCATCGTGGTTTGGATAAAGAATGCAAATTAATATGTACTTAGAATTCAACCTTTATTAGCATTTCTGTGAATGCTCCTCAGCTAGAGTTTTATATTCAGATCTGGTACATTGCAGAGAAGTTTCTACAACCCCACAATGTGCATCAGTGAACGTGAGGTGACTGGCTGGGTGAATGAATGAATGACATAATGGCAAAATACAAAATACAAAAACACATTGTCACCCACCCTGTGCCCATACTGTTCAAGCATTTCTCTTAAATTCTCTTTAACCCTCAGAACATCCCTATTGTTCTTTTGCATCAATGGTAGGATAAAGTTGGAAGGAGGTCCCGCGTGGGGGACCATGGTGGATTCCATGGTTGGCGAGGGTAACCGAGGCAGGGAACAAACACGCCAGGCAAACAGAGCGTCAGAGAAAAGTTTTATTAGAAGGGGAGGGAAGGGGAAGGGAAGAGAAAAGAGGTAAAGAGCCACAGCGGGAGGACAGAAGAGAAGAGGGAGACAGGAACAGAGAGAGGAGAGGTGGAAAGAGCAGAAAGAGAGTAAGAGAGGGTAGGTGCTGGGCCTATCTTTTAAAGGGGTCATTTGCACCTTCGTGCAGACTTAGTACTCATGGAACCCCGGGCTGACCAGGGTACTGCCTGAGTGCATTCTGCCAGGTGACAGGAGCAGATCAGCATAATGCCTGAATCCCTCTAAAAATGGGCACTGTTATCTTTAAAGGTGAGGCTAAAAGGGTAATTTGCCCAAGTTGGCTGATGTCAAGGAAGCTGGGATTCAATGTTATGAATAAAGCAAGAGGGGATCCTTGGTGGATTCCATGGCAGGCGAGGGTGACAAACATGCCGGGTAGACAGAGCTTAAGAGAGAAGTTTTATTAGAAAGGCTCGGGGAAGGGGGGGGCGGGGCAAGGGAAGGAAAGAGGTAAAGAGACACAGAGACAGAGGACAGAAAAAAAGAGGGAGACAGAAAAAGTTCTGTCTGCCCCAGGGGAACAACAGGAAAGAGAGCGGGAAAGAGAGAGCCAAAAGGGAAGAATGGAAAAAGAATAAAATGGGTGGAACCTTTCTTTTGAAGAGCCAGGGTACAGACACCTGCCACACGCAGGTGGGTGAGAGGCCGGGCCAGGTTTGCCTGGATTACAACATTCAATCTAAGCAGTTTTCCAGACCATCTTCACCCAAGGTCACTGGCACTGTTTTAGAGTCCAAATCAAAGTAGCTCTGTAATCACATCTGGACAAGGTGCTGAGGGTAATCAGATCAAGACTTCTCACAGAGGATTAGTGTTCTACAGAGAGCTTCAACATCTCTCCCATGTTGATTCCTGATCTCACAACATCGTGGAAACAGTAGCAATGAGAGCAAGCTGTATATTATGAACAAGGGGGGACATGAGCACTTGAGTAGAAGTTATCACTAATCCAAATGATGGTGAGACTTAGCAAAGGGCTCTCTCTCTCTCTCTCTCTCTCTCTCTCTCTCTCTCTCTCTCTGTGTGTGTGTGTGTGTGTGTGTGTGTGTGCGCGCGCGCTGAAGTTTGGTAGCTGTCCATTGTTCCTGGGCACAGTTTGAAAGCATTTTTCCTTCCATGTGCAAGTATTCTAACTTTGATATTTGCAGCCTAGTGGTTGGTGATTTAGCCCAGGAATTTTGTTTATGTATATTGCTGATGTATATATGCATATTGTTTATGTATATTGGTGTTTTGTCTACAAGTAGGTCTGTGCATTATGTGCATGCCTGGTGCCCACGGAGGCCAGAAGATGGTGTCCAATCCCTTAGACTAGAGTTACAGATGTTTGTGAGCCAACATGTGGTGCTGTGAACTGACCCTCCTCTAAAAGAGCAGCGAGTGCTCTTAACCACTGAATGATCTCTCCGGCCCAGAGAATCACTTTGAACAAATGTCCCTGGCCTTGTCATGAGTCTGAGGAGCTGTGGGTGCGCCAGCTGCCTGAAAATACAAAAGTAATATGGCATTCAGCACAGCTCCAGGGCTGACCTGACCGGGGCAATGAAGGAAGAAAAGACACACAGAAGAGCTAGGGTTGGGTGGGCTGGGCTCTCTGGTGGAGAAGCTGCAGCAGCCAGCAGCTCGGTTGAACAGGGAGGCAGTGCTTTTCACGAAGCAGAAAAGGGAGACAGGTTTAGCTATTTTCTATAGGAGTCGGCTCTGTAGGAGAGCAGTCTTGGGGCCATAAGTGTGGGGAGGTGGGGTGAGAACAGAGAAAGCACTGTGGGACCTTTTCTCTACACACTATCAACATTTGCACACAGACCAGGAGGGAAGGCTTTACCATTTCCCTGAGACTGAGGAACTGGGGGACTTGACATAGCTATGATCATGTCAACTGCACACATTCACGCAGGGCTTCCCCTGCTGCCTACAGAATTGAGTAGAGGAAACATGTCAGCAGCAACAGCTGCTGGGCCTAGTTAATTCTGTGTGGTAGTCTTGGACAAATACTTGAAAATGGTTACATCAGAGTTGGGTATCTGGGTCAAGGATTAAGACAGCAAAGGTGACAGACATAACAGGAAGACAGAGATGCCAAGCTTTTTTTCAGCGCTCTATGAGATACCCGTGGGTATCAGGGTTTAAGCAAAAGTGGCTTTCAGGTTTCTTCTGGAAAACAACCAAGATACACTTGTTAGAGGTGTTTTCACAGCGGGTGAAACAGTGTACAGCAAACGATGCTTGCTCAGTTATGTGACCTTCAGAACTGATGCTTTCTGGGTGAGTTATATATAAATGCTGTGATTTTGTTCTGGTGGACTGTCGGCAATTGTTGACTCTAGGACCTTAGGCAGGGTATTTTATGGGATGAGATTTTTCCCCTGGTAATAATTTCCCTGTCTTTGTCACTGTGTTACCATCTCAGACCTCACTAGCTTTATCTGTGTTTAGTCACAGAGGTTTTCCAGTCTGTAAATATTTTGCCGTGTGGCCTCTTTCCATGTTTTATGACAAAGCTGTTGCTTGAGTACAAGAATGGAGACAGAAGTAAACACAGAGCACACTGTTAGTGACAGGGTCAGGGCCACGCTTCCCTTGCCATATGTCCTCTTTCCATGTTCCCTGCCTGTTTTAGTGTGATACTACAAGAAGACAGCTGCCTATCAATGAGGAGGTGGTCCCTCCCTAGATGCCAGGTCTGCTGGTGCCTTGATCCTTAGGCTCTCCTCCCAAACTGTGTGAAATGAATGGTGTGTG